CGCGCTTGCCTCTTGAGCTGCAGTGGGCGGTTACAGTTACAGTTGCCGGCGGTTGGGGAATGGGTCGAGTTCGCAGATTTTGCTGTGCTGCGTGTGCAGCTGAGCTCTGCCCCTCCCGGCCTAGCGGCCCGTCCTGCTGATGCGCGTTCGCACCCCTCCCTCCCCTGCAATGGCACCCGCACACTGCAGCGTCCCGTTCAGACAGGCTCAGGCGTAACGCTTCTACGTCTCGCCCCTTGCAGATCCCGCCCCGCAGACCCGAGGTCGAGTTCGCAGATTTTGCTGTGCTGCGTGTGCAGCTGAGCTCTGCCCCTCCCGGCCTAGCGGCCCGTCCTGCTGATGCGCGTTCGCACCCCTCCCTCCCCTGCAATGGCACCCGCACACTGCAGCGTCCCGTTCAGACAGGCTCAGGCGTAACGCTTCTACGTCTCGCCCCTTGCAGATCCCGCCCCGCAGACCCGAGGCTGGAACCTGGGACTCGGGGTTGGAGCCTGAGTCCGGCCGGGAATAAAGGGTCAAACCCTGGTGTGTGTGTGTGGGGGGGGCACTGAGGACCTAGTGTCAACGGATTTATGCCGTGGGAATACTCCCACGGGCTGGTTGGCTTTGTCCACTGGACAGGCGGGTTTTCACCACCCTAGTATGCGATAGGGTTGGGAGTGTGTTGTTGTGCGCACAATGAACGGATACACCTGGGCGTATCAGGTTTCCTGCAGAGCCGCCTCCCACCCCTCTTCCTCCCGCAGAGGCAGTAGCTAGGGTGACAAATAGGAGCCAGTCCTTAAGGGGGGAGTCCACTTAAAAGCTGGCTCTCTGCCAGCTTCCACAGAGCCACCTCTCCCTTTCACCTCCTGTGCTGCTGCCTTTCTGTCAGAGTCAGCATTGGAGGGGCAGAGACTGTTTGTTGTCTGGGAGGTGGGCGGGCATTAGCCCCCCACTTCTAAAGGACCTCCCCCCAGCCTACGGGGAGGGTCCACAGAGCCCAGAAAACCAGCTGATCACATTGGACAAATAATGAGAAAACAGGGACGGGTATGAGGGGTGTGAGGGCCAAAGGGATACAACGAGGGAACTGGATGGGGATACTGAGCAGAGAACCCTGGACAGCGCCCACTTGTACCTGGAAGGTCTCTAGTGAGCCAGCAGACGCCACCCACTGGAACTCTGCCCGGATACGTGAGCGGATACTGGAATGGAAATAAGCCCCATAGTCACAGGCCCCTCAGCCAGCCAACCTCTGTTCCCTGGTTTTATAGGTTGCCAATTTGGCAATAGCCAGGAGAAGGTTGATTAGGAGGTCCTGTGACTTTGTGGGGCCA